ATCAAACAGAATGCACCGCCAGGTGATCCTCTGTAAGCATCACTGCCTCCTCCAGGCTGCATGGCCAGTGTCACCTTACCCAGTCCACTGTCCTAACTGGGAGTCCATCCCCTGCTCCAGCACAAAGACCTCTAGCAACCACCTCTCCTCTGGCGAGTCCTCTAGCTGCACCTACCTGTCAGCTGAGTCTTGCAGCTGCTTGGCTAAGGTGAAAAGACGATCTGCTGGCTCCAGTCTGGCACCCTGGAAGCAGCGCAGAAGGTCCTCAGGGGAATATCCCAGCTGATCCAAGACAGCCTTCCTTATGTCCTGATACTTCTTCCTCGCTATTTCCAGTAGGGCCAATGTCATGGTCTATGCTTCTCCTGACAGCAGTGGCAGCAGACGTACAGTTCACTCTGCCTCTGGCCACCAGCAAGCCACCGTTGCCGCAAACACATCCAGGAAAAGACTGGTTGCTGCGAGCTGATGCCCCGCTGATGCCCCACAAGCTCTTTTACAATTTACAATTTGTTGCCGTTGTTTTGATAACTCAAGAATTTCTCATTTGCAATTCTCAATCTCAAACACCATTTGCGGAAAGGTTTAGACAAGAGGTGGCAAACATATGGCCTGTGGGCCAAAACTAGCCCCATTTGTAGGTTCAATCTGGCCCGCTTGAGGAATTACAAAAAAAAAACACTTTAGAATATTTTTTTGTAAAATTTATTATGAATAAATATAAAACATATTGAATATAGTTGTTCTTCTTTTCATTCAAAAAAAAGGGAAAAACATGGACTTGATTGTTATTTATAGTTAATTAGGTTATGATTATACTAACCTGGTCCTCTTGACATCTAAATATGTTCAGCCTGTGAGCCAAAATGAGTTTGACACTCCTGGTTTAGACTTTAATGAAAAATTAAAAAAAGAGAGTAATACCTTTATTACTATTAATTAAAAAAATAAGTTAAAAAGATAAGCAAAGTATTTCAAAGAATAGTAGACAACATCCACACTTAATAATCAGAGAATTTTGTGTGCCCAGCTACAGGAGTTAAAGGCAGGCACACAGCTGAACCCACGGGAGATGGAGATGGGAGAAGGGATTGCAGGTCATGTCGAGGAAAGGTTTGCAACGACTTGATCTAATTCATCCAGCATTGAAATGTAGTTAAAGGCTGGGCTTTGTTTAAACAATTGTGTTTTTGTGTATGCTATAAATGTTTATAATTTTACAGACTGCAACAGGAACCTCTGGAGGCCCATGTAGGAGAAGGTACGGTCAGGAAGGAAGCCGAGGAGGAAGTCCGTGAGCTCACGGAGGAGCATTTAGCTGAGATACAAATAGACACTCTGTCAGTGTCCAGTGAGCAGTAAGTGTATTTTTTGTTTCATTCTTTTGCGTTGTGTTTATGCTTTATGCTTTCTATAATGCAGCAGTGTACCATCAAAGCCTTCTTCGCTTCGGCCTAAACAATTTCAGAATCAGTGACTTATTTTTCAATATAATTATCATGTTTATAAAATAATACAAAATAGTCTGTTTACAACATTTAATAGATTCTTTTTTTCTTGGTTGTGCTGCTTCCAGTGCTGTGTTTTTATACCCCATTTTAGCCATTCGTATTTCAGCCTCCATCTGTTGCGTAGGTCAAAGAATCCTACCTTAACACATTAAAATCAGTAATGCGGTTGAATGAATGGCCATGAAATGGTTTCTTCAACTGAGGCTTTGCAGCACATTACGTCTGAGTTTGAGTGGTTTAATAAATGGTCAAACACCTTGTCTCTAACTTAGCGAACTACATGTAGGAACTTATGCGCACGAAAATTAACTTCTGTCGAGCGGACTGTTTTAGTCATGAAGGAAATTACAACCAGAATTGCCGTACCACAGGACAGAGTGGACTTTCAGCATTTGGATGGATGCAATAGAAAAATGAAAGAAAAAAAAAATTTTTTTTTAATTGTAATTTTATGATGGTATAATTGATGCTTTTTGATGTGCATCATGTCTCAGCTGTGGCTGAATTGGGCTTCCTGTTGTTCTTTATAATGGCGTTATTAAGGCTGCACGAGTAAACTAAGATGTAACAAGTCATTATACTACATTTCTATATAATATTGATGCTTTTTGTAGACACAATGATGTTACAACGAGTGGATTTTTTTGGGGGGCAGCTAAAGGCCTAGGTGTACATGCCACTCCACTGATATAGTGCATGATTATATTTCAGGTCTTGACTCTACCTGAAATATAGTAGACTAGACGTTGATGACATTGTTGAAAATTTTCTGTCATTGAAGAAAAAAGTAGGAGGGAATGCTGTGCAGTAATCTATATTCACTAAAAATGAACAGCGTATACACACAAAATTAACAGACAAAGCAGCAGTTATTTATAAACATAAGTAATTGTCTCTTATCTGCCAGTGCAAAAAAAGAAGTCCTACTCAATAACAGGGCCGGTCATTTTTTTTTTTTTAATTCTTTAGAAAACAATCACATTGATGTTGGCTAGGTGGAATGAATATACAGAGCATTATAGCAGTTCAAGAAACGAGCTACCCGGAATACAAGTTACGAGTAAGCAACTTTTGCAAGACTTTCCTCGTGATACTGTACGAGGAACCATCATGTTACGAGTGTTTAACAGAGCTCTATTTTTCCACTAGACGCTATCCTGCTCACAGTCCCTCGATTGGTTATTTTACCCATCACTTTATTTCTCGCTTTCCCTTTCTCTCTCTCTCTCTCTCTCTCTCTGTCTCTCTCTCTCTCTCTTTTTATCACCTAAATTGAGTCCATACTGCCAGTCTTTCTCCTATGCTTAGTCTTGCTCACTGTCCCTCACTGGGTTATTTTACCCATTTTTATAACTATAATATAATAACTAAAAATAACTATAATATAATAGTTATTTCAGTGGGGTAAAAATATATATCCATCCATCCATCCATTTTCATCCGCTTATCCGTTACCGGGTTGCGGGGGCAGCAG